AGGCAGAGGGGACCACTGGGGGCTGGTCAATCAATGCAGAAGACCAGGTACTAAGCCAAGGAATCACCAGGGATGCTGGAACACTCCTGTAATCCTACACTGGGAAGACAGAGGCAGGCAGATCTCTATTAGTTCAAGGCCAAACCTGGTATATAAAAGGAGTTCCAGGTCAGCCACAGCTACATGGTAAGACCTTGTTTCAAAGATTGAAGTAATTAAAAAATAAACTAAGCCAGATCAGAGGGATCAGAGAACCCTCAGAAAGCTCACAGACAATAATAACCACAGTGCTCCAGACTCCGACCCAGACTCAAGGCCACTGAGTGAGTGGCTTCAGCCTCAGCCAGCTGGCAGCTTCTCCTCCCAGGCTCAGGCCGCTCCACACTACTCAGACTCCACTCAACAGCTCAGATACCTGGCACTCCTCTGCCTTAAATCCTAAAGAGAACAGTTCCCTCTGCCTGGATGAGCCTCCCTGAGACCCATCCCCTCAGCCTCCAGGCCCCTGCTCAGATGCCACCTACTCAGGACCCCACCCCCATCCTCTTAGTTCCTGCTCTCCTGAGAGCCTTAGTTTAAAGTCCTTCAATGCCACCTGACAATTGGGTGGCCTCTGGAAGATGACTTAACCTCTCTGTTTTCATTTCATCCTTTTTTTGTGTGGTGTGGTGTGGTGTGGTGTGGTGTGGTGTGGTGTGGTGTGGTGTGGTGTGGTGTGGTGTGGTGTAGTTTGGTTTGGTTCTTTGAGACAGGGTTTCTTTGTGTAGCTCTGGCTGTCCTGAAACTTGCTCTGTAGAGCAGGCTGGCCTCGAGAACTCATAGTCCACCTGCCTCTGCCTCCTGAGTGCTGGGATTAAAGGCATGCGCCACTGCCACCCAGCCCCATTTCATTTTTAACATAGGGCACAGGAGTATTCTCTGCTTTAGAGTTCTAAGGACTGAGTTCGTGCATCCTCAGACTCAGGTAGCACTTATTATTACTGATATTCAGAGTGTTTGTGGTAGCTTCCATTGTCATGGTTTGTCTGCCTTTACAGTCTATCAGCTCAACAGTGGGGATCTAGGCTGTCACAAGTCACAGCATACTCCGGTACCTGCAATACACATGTATGCCAACCTCTAGTATGCACCCATGTAGGGAACAAAAGAACTGGGCATAGCATTCTAAGGGCGTTTGTTGACTCTGGGGCCCAGAGGGATGGGGAGACAAAGGGGACGTGATGACTGAGCTGGGTTTCCAAGGATAGATACAAATCATCAAACAGACTGAGAACGCTGCGGGGGTCTGCCCATGGCTAAGGCTGGGGTTCATATGCAGCTCCCGAGCAAGCTGCTAATGGTTAAGCCTCAGTTCTCCTCCAGAGACAGCCTTCTAGGACCAACACAAGCCCTTCCAGCCCCTGGGGTCACGCATCCATTCAGCCATTTTGAGCTCTTGCTGAGGGACAGGCAATAGCATTTTCTGTCTACAGGCTTTCCCTCCCACAGCCAAAGCACCCCTGCCACACAGTGAGGACCATCAGAGTGGTTCACCAACTCCTCACATTCAGACTCAAGGTTGGGATACTTTCTAGGATCACCCAGATACAGGGACTCAGGGACAAACACCTGGCCTAAAGTCACACAATGAGCAGTAGGGTGAATATGGATTTTTTTTTCTGTGTATGTGCGCATGTTTGCATGTGTTTTATATGTGTGTGGTACATGCAGACATGGAACATGCAGGTGTGTATGCCCATGCACATGCCTGAGGTCCTCTCTACCTCATCAATTTGAGACAGGATCTCTTATTGAACTGGAAGCTGACCATTTTTCTCTAGGCTGAAATCTTAGCCAGTTCTTAGGATCTGCCTCTCTCTACCCTTCAATGCTGGGATTACAGGCTCACACAGCTTTGCCAAGCTTTTTGAATAGGTGCTTAGAATTTTAACTTCTGTCCTCTTGTTTGTATGAATCTCTACCCATTGAGCCAACTTCCCAGACCTGGAAATGAGATTCTAACCCAAGCCTGGCATGATAGCACACACTTGTACTTCTAAACCTTGGGAAGCTTCGGCAGGAGGATCAAGAGAAGGAGGCCATCCTGAGCTACATAGTGAAACTATCTCAAAACAACAAAGAGGAAGAGGGAACGGAAGTAGGAGGAGGGAGAGAGGCAAGATTTTAATCCAAAGGCTACTTCCCAAACCTCAATGTATTCTAGGTTAGACCACTATTGAGGCTTGGGAGGATGAAGTACAGAGAGGTTCCTCTAGCTGTCCTGAGATTCAAAGTAAGTGGTGGGTCACATGAAGGTTTGCTGCAGCACCCAGGCCTACGAGCAGAGCAAATACACACTGCTGGCTCTGGTCTCCATCAGCTTGACATTAGCACCACCTGAGCAAGGAGTCTCAGGCGAAGGGGGCCAAATAGCTCATCAACAGCTGTGTATGCAAACAGTCCCCAAGCACCACTGGTAGCTGATCTGGACCAGGCTAGAACTGATGATTAGAAGTTCAAAGTCATCTTTGGCAACATCTTCATCAAATTTGAGGCCGGCCTGGGTTACATGAGACCCTGTCTCAAATAAAAATAGTTCAGTCCCCAGAAAAGAAAATGATCCCAAACTCTCCTTTTTTTCCATAGGAGCAAATGAAATTAAGAAGATGCCACAGAAAGTCAAAACGTGTCAAGCAGGCCCAAGTTCAAAGGTGGTGATCAGTATCACTCCTAACTAATGTGAAGCCCCTGAGGCCCTGTGGCCCAGTTTCCACACCCAACACCCAGCTCCATCACCAGAGGCTGGACGCTAGCTGAGTCTGATTCAGGACTCGGGGTGGGATGCTGCTCACCAGCCTTTTTTTTTTTTTTGCCTGGCTAAGCCTGGAATCCAAGAAACTCTGGAACCAGAACCACCAAGTTCAAATCCCAGCTCTGCCACTTCCTGCTGTGACCTAAACAGGCTGCTGACCCCTCTGAGCCTAAGTTATTTCTCATCCGGGATAAGTGTGGGGAGAGAGGGGCAGGGTGGAGAGAGTAGTGGCTACTTCCCTTACTGCTATAACCAAGCACAAGGAAGAAAGGGCTCGTTTTGTTTGTTTGTTTGTTTGTTTGTTTGTTTGCTTGTCACAGTTTGAGGAAACACAGTCTACAAGGGAAGGAAATGATGCGGTCAGGTGGTCACACTGTGGTCAGGTGGTCACACTGTGTCCACAGACAGGGAGCATAGAGAGGCAATGCTGGTACCAATATACTTTCTCTTTTTTCCCTTTTTATGGAGTCCGACCCATAGGAATCTGCCATCCACATTCAGGGAGTGGGTCTTCCCTCCTCACTTAAACCTCTATGGAAAGAAACAGTCTCACAGTCATACCCAGATTCTGAACCCAGTCAAGCTGATCAGCCATCACAGGGATGATACAATGGACCTGCCTCACTGAACTGAGTGTGTTAACATGTGCTCGCTCTGAGCATGCTGCCAGGCAAAGTGAGAGAGCATGGAGATACTCAACCCTGGCTCAGGGGGTGAGCATGGAGACCCAGTAGCTCAGATTCCATCCCGGATATGGAGGAGAAACTGCATGTTCACATTCATCCCCTAGATATCCCCTGGCCTCTGAGCAGGGCTAGGTACACCAAACACAGTTTATAGAGTTCACTGAGGTAGGAGAGATAGAGATACAACCCCATCTTCCATCCCAGTGAGAGCGAGGCTCACAAAGACTGCATGGTGCCATGAGAAATCTAGGAAGGCTTTCCAGAGGAGGTAGCATCCCAGATGAATCTGAGAGCTGAGGAGGAAACTGCCAAAGAGAAGGCGCTGACAGAGGTGCAGGGAGGCTGAGGTCACTGGTGGAAGGTATAGAATACACAGCAGCTAGAGAGAGTCAAGGTAGAACACTAAGACAGAAGAACCCAATCCCTACAGTGGTGCTATGAACACAGAGCAAGGATGGTGGGGCCTGGAGAGAGAGCTAGGCAAGCATGCCACTGAGATGGGGACCTGCCAGGTAAGCCTGAGCAGGTGGGCAAGCACCACAGCTAACTTTTCAGAGGTAACCTCTAGTGGGAGAGCAGATGGAAGGAACTGGGTGAGATCCTCAGAGGACAAAGAGCCCGGGGCTGGGCAAGGATGCAGCTGGGCTGAAAGGGCAGGTGAGATGTGGTTTTGCCCCAGGCTCTTTTTTTAAAGCCCTTTTCTGCGCTGCCCTCAGTTGGCAGACACTCTCGCCCAGCACTGGCGGTACAGCCTGTCCTAAGCCCTTCTCCAGGCACCAGGCCAAAGGCCCCCAATGAGCCACTGTGCACTTGGGTGTTTCTGGGACCTCAGCACCTATCTCAACTCCAAAGTCCCAGTTAGGAGGTTCCAGGAAAAAATATTCACGAAGGTCACAGCACAGGACATTCTCCACATGGCCTCTCCCTCACATGGCTGTGTTGTTACTCTCCTGGTCTCGCCTTGTACACACCCACACGTTGTAAATTCTGTCAGGGCCATACATAGCCTTGGAGTCCTGAGCTGGGGAACTGATGAGGCACAGAGCCCAGACGGCAGTGGGATTGTACACAGGACCCAGGGACAGATAGACACACACACACGCACACAGCAGCAGTAGCAGCAGCACCAGCACCAGCACCAGCACCAGCAGCACCAGCACCAGCACCAGCAGCAGGATGCACAGGGCACACACAGCAGCAGCAGCAGGATTGTGCTGAACACACATATACACACTCAACCAAACAATTCCAGAACTTGCTACAGAAGATTCCATTCCACCCAACCACAAACTGCCAGCCCAAGGGAGCCTACTGTCCCTGGGGCTCTCTGGAGAGACTACTAGTTATCACTTAAGAAGTCTGTGGGTTCTGCGATTTCTCCTTCTAAAGAGGACTACAATAGAGACAGTAGAGAGTTAAGACTAAAGATGCAGATCCTGACTTTAGAGGAAAGCATCTACTTTCCGGGCCCCACACCGGGAGACTCATTTGCCTCCCAGTCCACCCTAACCCACAGTCCATACCCTTCGTAAGTGGTTGCCCACATTCTGGATCATTGCTGCTCCGTTTGCTGGGTTGCCAGGCTGTGGGGGGTCTGTAGGCTCCCAAAGGGCCGCTGGTCACCTGAGCCCCAGGCGGCCAGCAACTCCAAAAGCAGCCGGCTTCTCCTGGCTCCTCCTCCTCCTCCCAAGCTCACCGCCCTCCGGAGCCAGCTGTTAATATCTCCGCCCCATGTCCTGGCCTCTCCTCAGTCCGCCCTCTGTGCCTCCCACCAACCCCGGCGCCCAACCCCAGCATAGAAGGCTCCCTAGCACCTGCCAGCTGGGCCACAGCCACGTGGGGCCTGGTGCCCACCTGCTGGCACCACTAAACTGTCTTCATGTCTCTAGAACCAGGCAAATTCCAGGCCCCATTCTAGCCCCCTACCCCCGTCCTTGCCTAACAGAATAAAGATCCCAAGAGCTCCATCTCTCTTGCCAGGCAGTCCATGTGTCCACAAGAGGGCAGGCTGGAGTGTAGGAGGATGCCAGGGAGCTGCCAAGGCCTCCTAGAGAGACACCAGACCCACCTGCCAGGGTTTCACCTTCCAGAGTGCTACCCACTGGCTCCTGAGTCCAGGTTGTCCACATCCAGCAACTGCTAAACTGGGTCTGTACACCGAGCCCTGACAGCTACTTCCTTATAAGCAAGTAATTCTTGTAAATGAGGCACCTGTCAAAGTATACCCAGTATGCCACATGCTATTCAGCACCCACGGCCATCAATGAGTGAAAGTCCTCCAGGATTTTCCCTTTCCTCTGCCACTTCTGCAAGAGGTTTGAGGCAGAGGACTCGACACACACTGGACAGGATTAAAAAGGCCAAAGGGAACAGGTGACCAGATGGCTGAGGACAAGTCCTAGAGCAGCAGACCCCTGCTGTGATTCAGGTTGATCCCCTAGGTACCTCACAGAGATGATCCTTGGGGCTGGGGAGGGATGCATCCAAGGCACCAGAGCAGTATGCAGCAGATGGGAACGGGTCAGCAGAAACTTCCCCTGCCTCCTGCCTCAGCTTCGTTCACTACAGTTACTAACATGTCCTCTACTGAAGGCCCTGAGTTCACTACCACACCTGTGACCCTGGGTGAGTCCTCTCCTCTCTCAAAGCCTTGGCTCTAGGAGTCAAGGACCTGCACGTCCTTCCTTGTGAGTTCTTGTCAACGATCTAAACTTCTGTATCTGCAAATGAGAAACTGAAGTTATACCTGAAAGACAGCAAGATGAACACCAGTTGTGCCAACTCATGCCTGTAATCCCAACACTCAGGAACCTAAGGCAGGAGGCCGGCCATGAGTTCAAGGCTAGGCTAGGCTACATGAAGTTTCAGACCAGCCTGATCTATAATACAATATTAGACACTGTCATAAAAAAAAAAAGAGGGGTGGAGACCGGAGAAATGGCTGTGTGGTTAAGTGTTCTTGCTACTCTTCCAGGAGAGCCCAATTGGGTTCTAGTATCCATGTCTGATGGCTCAAAACCATCTGTAACTGACGCTCTAGGAAACCCAACGTCTCTGAGCTCCACGGCATCTGCATCCATATACGTACCCAGATGCAGACACACATACCTCCACCTAACTACGAACAGAAAAGTAAACATTTTCTGAATGGGGGTAGAGGCTGGGGAGATAGCCCAGTTAGTAAAGTGCTTGTTGTCACAAGCATGAAGACCTGAGTTTGACTCTTAGCACCCATGTAAAAAAAGTTGAGTGAACTGGCGGGTACCTGTAGTCCCAGAACTAGGGGGGCAGAGATATACCATGTCCCTTGGTGAGCAGCCTAACATAATGCGTGAGCTCCAGGTTCCCTGGGAGACTTTGTCTAAATAATAATAATAATAACAATAATAATAATAATAATAATAACAATAACAACAAAGCAAGGCATGAGATGGTTCAGCATGCACAGGCGCTTGCTGCCTGTGGCGGTTTGAATGAAAACGGTCCCCATGGGCTCATACCTGACTGCTTGGACATCAAGGAGTGGCACTATTTGAGAAGGAATAGGAGGTGTGGCCTTGTTGGAGGAAGTGTGTCACTGGGGATGAGCTTGGAGGTTTGAAATGCCCAAGCCAGGTCCAGTGTGTCTCTCTCTTCCTGCTGCCTGCAGATCTGAATGGAGAACTCTCAGCTTCTCCAGAACCACCGTGTCTGCTTGGAGCCATCATGCTCCCCACCATGATAATAATGGACTAAACCTCTGAAACTATAAGCCAGCCCACAGCGAAATTGTCTCTTTTATAAGAGTTGCCTTGGCCATGGTGTCTCTTCACCACAATAGAACAGTGACCAAGATCCTGCCCAACAGTGCAAGCCTCAATTCCATCCCCAGAACCACATAAAGATGGAAGGGGAGAACTGGAGGCGCAAGGTTGTCCTCTGACCACCACAAGTGTGTAGCACATAGGCTCCTTGCCATACACACATCACACTTCCACGAACAGTTGATAATAATAAATTAAATAAATAACATTTTTAAAGATGAAGAAGCAATTGAGGAACAAAACTCTGGCAGACACACACACACACACACACACACATACACACTCAGCACTGAGGACTAAAGCAATCCAGGTGGCTTCTAAAGGAGGTGGTACTAAAGCCAGCCAGGATGGGATTAGGCAGGCTGGGAGGGGTGAGATGGAAGGCCTGGCAGGACAGGACAAGTGCACTCCTGGGCTATGAGGAGCGTCACCCTACAGGAAAGCCAGGACCTATCACAGAGGGCCTCACAGACCAGGCAACAGGGTTTAGGCTTGAGGTTCCTCTGTGCACGGTGAACATACCCGACGTGGTGAAGCAAGGAAGACAGAACAGGTGTCAGACTTCCGTGGACAGCGCATTTCACTGAGCCTCCACCTAATGTAACAGACACTGCTACTGAACTCACAGCCTCCTACCCAGTCTCCCCTCTCTCCAGACGACCACCATACCTCAGGCTCGCCAGCCTCAACCCAGCCATCTAAGACATGGACAAACTGAAACCCTGAGGTGGAAAGGACATTCTGTGTGGAAGTCATCTAGACACAGCAGTCCTTACCATAAGCCCAGAGCCACATTCACCTGATCCTGCCACACAGCACACAGTGGGAGAGCTTCACTTAGACATCAGAGAGGACTTCCAGCGAGGCTGATCCCAGGAGCACACAACAGAGAAGGAGATCTTTCTGCAGAGGCTCCTGCTACTCACAGAGCTACGTCCTGTCTGAACTGGCTCCTGTGAGCCCTCAGCAGCTCTGCCTGTCTGTTACTATAGAGATGTTACCACCTGCATCCAGCTCCCCATCCAGATCACCTGAGTCCCAAAGGCATCTCCCCCATCCTTGCCTCGGACCCCAGTACCCAGGTGATATGCAGATGTCTGTCCTAGGTCCCAGAAGGATCCAAACTTCAGCCTGCATCAGGGTGACCCAAAGGGCCTCTTAACACCTACAGTGCTGAGTCCCACCCAGATTTTTTCTTTCCAGCCAGTGTTCTTAACTGCTGAGTCATCTTTCTAGCCCCCACACTCTAAGGTTTTTGTTTCAGTAAAACAGAGATGTTAAGCCCAAGAACTTGCCTGTCTAACAAAATCCCTAGAGATTCTGCCGGGGCTATCGAGATGGTCCAATAGCACATTAGAGTGGGAATATGGTGATGAGGTTCAGAGACTTGACAGTCTGCCACCACAACAACAGCAGCAGCTGGAATGCCACCACCTACAGGAAGCCCTCCTTGGCCTCTCCTGGGTGATATGCACACGAGCATGCACCTGTGCACACACTTTACAGCCCCGTAGCTCTCTGTGTGCTGAAACTTGAACCCAGGACATAGTGTATGGAAGACTGTGTCCCCTGCTTTTTCTCTTTAGTTGATTTATGTTGGTACCCCACCCCACCCGCCCCACCCCCTTTTCTTTTTACCTCAAGTAAGCTGGCTGTGGAAATGGAACAGACTCGTCAGAACACCCTGCCTCTCACAATGAGCGTCTTGAACGTAGTAGATGTTCAGTGAGCATCTAGAAAGGGAGGAATGGAGGAATCTTACACGCAAACAGGCAAGGGACATTGTGAGTGGAAGTACATGCCTGAGTAAACGCCTAAATGAACGCACGCAGGAATACTGTCATCCTCTAAGGTCCCTGGCCTCTGGGGCCCTGGAGTGTGGCCTGACAGATTAAAGGAAGCTCTGAGATAAAGATGGGGGTGGGGCATCAATGAAGGGAGGGGCCAAGAAAAAGAGTAGTGACACCAGCAGAAGAGGAAACGGAGGTGACAGTAGTCAGAGCCGGGTCCTTACTCCAAACCCCACTCTTTGTGGACAAAAAGGCCTGTAAAAGATGGCACAGCGAAGAACACTGACTGACCCGGGGACAGACGGCGGTGATGGAGGTAGAAGGTGGAAGCCCACCGAGGAAGCAAGGTTTAGCCAACCCTAAAAATACCGGATGGGTTCTGATACACGGATTCTAGTCTCTGCCAGCTCAGGCTGAGTGGACCTCCCACATGGCCGCTGCTGAGGGTCTGGGCCCGCCCAGCTTCCTTGAGCTTTTGCTCAGGAGTTGGTCCCACCTCACACTATGCCAAGTGAGTCATCACAAGGGTGCACCTGGGGAGTCTGAGCCTTCAGGTCCCTGGTGGCCAGTTTGGGCCCTCCCCCATCCTCACGGAGGCCCGCACCTAAGCACCCCTCGGCTGAGTAGAAGCCAGTCCCCAGCAGAGACCGACCTGTCCTAGGAAAGTGCAGGGAGGCGACCCACGGAGCCTGAACGCCAGGGACACGTGTGCCCTTCCAGAAGGGGAGGAGCGGCGCGCGCGTGCCGGGGTCTTACCCAAGTGCTGGGACAATCCTGACCCCACGGCTGGCGGGGCCGAGCCCGGGACGTCCGGGGTGCAGCGGCTGCGGGGAAGCTGGAGCTTGGCGGAAGCTCCGGTTGTAGACGAGAAGGCGAGAAGGCGGGAGCGGCCAGACGAGTTCCTGGGCCAATCTTTGCCCTCCCTCCCCTGCCTGGAACGGGTGGGGCAGCCCGGGGCCGCGGGGTCAGTAGATCCCAGAGGTCCAGGCCCGGTGGGAGACCTTGAAGGACAGGTTTCCAG